GTGCTTCTTTTGTTGTTTCTGTTGTGTCTGTGATTTACCAATTGCTGATTATTCTACTTTAATTCAATTCTGAGCGTACCATAACACCAACCGCTGAGGAAAATTTAGCAACATTCAGAATCATAGTTTGCACTTGATTAAGATTGATGAAACTTTCGGAGGGAAGGTGAAAGGAACATGAGAAAGCAAAGATTTGGTCAGGATTTAAAATAAGAGCTGAACAGGGAATTTAGCTGCAATTTGTTCTTATTTACAAACTCATCTTTTTAAACTTTCGGGACCATCAGTAGAAACTTACCCTGTGGGCAGCTAATAACTTTATAAATAAAAATAATAATAAACTTCCTGCGTAGAATAAGTGGAACATTAAAGTTGTGAGCGAAGTAGAAACTAGTTATGTAAAGGTGGGTTGAACTACAGTCCCCATAATCCACACTCAGCAATATCACCAAGATGACTCTTTGTCCGTTGCTTGTTTTTCTTTTGATTTAGAGAAACAAATTGCCTAATTAAAGGCAAAATGGAGCTCACCGAATTGGAGAACGGGGGAAGCCAAAAAAGGAAGGAAAAGGATCTTTGTGCTCCCCAAACAAATGTTTGGTTTTGTGGCAGCTGCTTTTCTTTTCTCTGAGTGTATTTTTGAGGCTGAGTTTCTCCAGACAGCATTTTAATAACTGGAGGCTTTCTTGAAGCTGACCGTCTCTGGCAAATCAAGCCCTTTCTTTGTTGAAGAGTTTGCAACTCCGGCTGCAGCTCTGCTATGGGTGGGTTTGAATGGCCATCATTGTCCAGACTTCACGTCAGCTGAGATAATAAAAACTCCCCCCCAAAGATTTCGAGGGTGGGAAGGTCTCGCAAGTTTAATCACACTAATTCTGGTTTTCAGCAGCCGGGATAAAGGAGGAGTAAGAGTTGACAATTCAGCAGATATTTCAGTCTGATTCTATGTCTGGGGAAGGAAAGGGAACAGATCTCTTGCAAATTCAACTCCCTCTACTTTTTGATGGAAAGAAAGATTTAAGAAATTAGCAGGTTCCTCCTGTTCTGACCCAGCCTTAGCAGAACCAAAAAGCAGATTCTTTGTCCCGAAAACCCCCTCTTTATTTAGTTACTGTGAATTTATGGCATTTAAACACAGAAAAGTCCTGGCAATACTCCTTCCAAGGGTTAATTGCAAGAACAGACCTTATCAGTCCTTGGATAATTGCCAGGCCGAAAGCTTCCAGTTGCAAAGCTGTAAGTTAATTCCTGGCAAGGAGTATCAGAGTATCACAATAAGCAAATCAAAGAAATACGAACTATTGTCTCCTGCAACCACCACTCCCCCTTTTGCCTCTATTTATTTCCCAGGGAGGGGCCATTCAGTGTCCATGTGTGCCTCTCCTCCTGAGTCGGCCCCTTTTCCTCAGTTGTTCTCCTCTTCTGACAGCTCTGTGCATGTGCGCATCTGGAACAGGCTCCAGCTATTCTTCTTGCCCACTTACCTCCAACTCCGAAGGCAGCTGGGAAATGTCAGATAACCCTGGCCCTCTCTGCTTCCGACACAGAGCATCCACCAGAGCTTTGCCCAGACTCCACGACTGGCCAAAGATCCTCCCCAACCTCCTCATCATACGAGTCTGCCACCAACTCTGCTGGCAGCTGGCGGGCCACAACACCTCCCATATTTTTTTTTCCATTGTGTTTTTGGGAAGAAGGAGTGAATAGTATTGTGTCAAGAAGAACCGGACCGTGTTTCCTGACAGTGAGAACAATTAATGGAACGATTAATGCCTCCAGAATTTGTGGGTGCTGCAACATTGGAGGTTTTTAAAAAGAGAATGGACAGCCGCTTCTCTCAAACTGTATAGGATCTCTTGCTTGAGCAGGGGGTTGGACTAGAAGACCACTGGGGTTCCTTCCCATTCTGTTATTCTGTAAACCTTGGCAGACTTGGAATCAAGGTGTGGTAAATGAAATCAGCTTGGTGCCAAGACCGCTTTTTCTTTTTTCCCCATAATCCCCCAGATGAAGTGCTGTTCTGAGGTAATTTATAGGAAATAAGAGTCTCTGCCATTGTCTTCGTAAGCTGGAGGTGCTCATCTGTGATGGTTATGTGAGAATGACCTTGGGAAACAGGATGTGATGACCTGGGGTGTGACAAAAAAAAATAACAAAGTCACAAAAATAGAATAAATTCCATTTAATGCCTCCAACTTAGCCCCAGTACCTAATTATCCTTGGCTGGATATCAAATTCTTAAAGAAAACAGTCTACGGAGGGAGTAAATGCAGTCCGAACCCAAAGTAAAGTTAATTAGAAATTAAAAACCCCAACACAAACCACACTGAAGTAATTAATATGGCAGGCCAGGATGATAAATTGCAGACTTCTACCAGATAATGTAGCAACCACAGTTGGGAGGAAGCCAAAACCCAGATAAGCTTCGACAAGAATAATACACGCTTTGCTTCCAGCAACTTTGCTATGCACAGTTGTCCTTTTAAACAGTCCTCCCAGCTGCAGCCCATGAAGGGGATCGGGGCCCTTTCCTCCCCTGTAGACCGCGCCATTCACGTTTCTCCCTTATCCACTCTTCCCTACGTGGCCTAGGATGAAGAGGGGATGGGCCTGGGTCTTCCTCTGAATGCCCATCCGGCCTGTGCCCTTCCCCAGTTTCCTCCACAACTACCAGAACCACACTCCCACTCCCTGTCAGCTGTTCCACCTCTCCCTTGGAATCAAATGCCAACAGGGGCATGACACAGGACAACAAGATGCAGCAAAGGGAACAGTCAGAACGGCAGGAATATGAGTGGGGAGACACACTCAGAAAAGACCTTCCCTAGTTTTGAAGTTGTAAAGAGGAATGGTAGGTAGTAGAGAGAAGTACTTTCACACTTGCATGATTCTGTGAATGTGACCTTTAAATTCATTTGGTAATGTTTCCTGTCTCCTCTACCTCATAAGGTTGACCTCATTGAGAGAATAATGGGCCTATCAGCACAGCATTGCCAAAAATGTTCTCTGGAGAAAATCCTTGCCTCAGAATAATCATGTTGTGACTTCCAAAACTCATAGCTTGCATTAAATTGTGGCCAGCTTTGCCTTGGTAGGAGCTAGGTAAGAGATGTTCAGCTTGTAGACAGACATGTAACTTCTGAAAGCCCAAAGGACCCTCACAAAATTCTTCCTGAAGGGCAATTCTGAACAAAAATAACAATCATAATCTTAAGTCTATGTGGTCCCTGTTCTGAAATGCATATAAAGGCTGAGTGTGGCTTGAAAAATAAAAATTGAACGTCTTCTGGCTATTCCTGTTCTTAGCATGTTCGATATTTTGCTGATGGAAAGGGCAGTACAGGTAGTCCTTGACTTACAAGAGTTCATTTAGTGACTGTTTGAAATTACGACACAGAAAAAAGTGACTGATGTCAACTAAAAAATACTTCTTTGGTCTTTTTAGTTGACAGCAGTAAGGGAGCGGGGAAAAGCAGTGCATTCCTTAAATGTTTCAGATAATCGCTTTGTCAGCCGAAGCTTCTGCTGCGCAAGATTATTACTGGAGAGTATGATTGATGACTCTTGGTTATGGATGTGTCTCATTGGAGAATATACATCCAGGGGATGGGGGGAAGACTAGGGTTAAGGATGAAATAAATGATGTGGCTGCAACCAGGAAATGCTGACATGTCAATTCCTAATAAATCAATCTTTTTTACTCTGAGAGATGTGGCTAGAGACTTGTGATTTGAATGGGGGTGCGTGTCGGCGTTGTGACAACTGAGAGCTTCAAATATACACAAGTGTTTACAGAAAGTGACAGTCAGTAAGAAAGTAAGAAAGAATACGGAAGGAAGTGAAAAGCGTGCAGAAAATGTTTTGGGATGAGTTCGGTGCCACTGGCCATAGCTATTCCTTGTTGGACCTAGCTATTGTCTCTGGACGACATTGCAATGGGTTATTACCGTAAGTTGAGTTATGATGGCTGCTTCATGTTCCAAATTCCGCATGAAATAAATCTCTGGATCTTCAAGTAAGAATTATTGTTTGTGGTCTGCCTGTGTTCCTCTTTGTTGGGATATTTTTGATGACATTTTAAATGGAAGCACTTCAAAAAAAAAATCAAGAAATCAGCTCATTCTGTCCCTCCCCTGGCATACCGACATGGCACGGTCAAGGATTCCCTCAATGGATGGTTAGCTTTGTAGAAGCAATTCCAAGCAGGATCACAATAAAGGAGAATATTTGTAGCTCAGGGTTGACATGAGAAGTCCTTGGTCCTCTCTGAATGTGGTTGTTTTCTTCCAGGTGTTTCATTATCCAAACTAGGTAATATCACCATCATGCTAGCACTGATGATGTTATGTAGTTTGGGTAATGAAACATCTACAAGAAAAGAACCAAGCTCAGAGAGCACCAAGGACCCCTCAGAGCATGCTCACTATGTCAACAAGCAATGCTCTAGTGATGACATAATAAGGGAGCACTACAGAACAACAGATCGTGCAGTGAAAAAGGAAAGAGAGGTTTCATTCTCTTATCATAGCTTTTAACCCTTGCCTCCTCTTTGTCCTTCCCTGCTCCGAAGGCCGGATGGCAGCTTGCTTACCTGTGCCTGACGTTCAGACAAAGCCAACTCCTGCTGGATTGCCCATCTTGACTTGCCATTTGTTTTGGCTCACCTCCTTGCTCATTTCAGCCCTCTTTGTTCTTGGTTCCTAATAACACATTTTTAAAAATATATATGTATATATATATCTAAAAATAGCTCTGTATTCATTGATCGTGCTGGATCGGTAACTGAAATGAAAAGCTCTGTTGCAGATTCTTGCTTGCCTTGCTCTTCCAGAGACCTGCATGGCAGCTGAAGCTCAAGCCTTTAAAAACGGTTTGGAGGGCATCCGCTCTCCGACGTTTGCATGCTGCCAGAGGAATGCATCTGCAATAAAGCATTCTCACCACCTTGCTTCCCCCTCCCTCTCTCTGTCTCTCTTTTTTTTCTCCCCTAACATTTCCAGTTCTCCCCCAAACAAGCCTTGAAGTGGAGTCTTACTCGGCTCACCCTGGAGACCTCCTCCAGTTGCGCTGCCGGCTACGGGACGATGTTCAGAGCATCAACTGGGTACGAGATGGGGTGCAACTATCCGAGAACAACCGGACGCGCATCACAGGAGAGGAGGTAGAGGTCAGGGACGCTGTGCCTGAGGACTCGGGTCTTTACGCCTGCATGACCAACAGCCCCTCAGGAAGTGAGACCACCTATTTCTCCGTGAACGTCTCAGGTTTGTAGCAGGCTACCCTCCAGGATGAATGAGAGCTGCCGGAAAAGACAATTTTCAGTTGTTGTTGTCAGCCTTACTGCTTTTTTTTTCAACCTTAACTGCCAGTTGCAGAAGATGTGAGACCAGGATTCAGTCTATACCAGGGGTGTCAAACTCAAGGCCCGGGAGCCGGAGCCGGTCCATGGGGTGCTTAGATGTGGCCTGCAGGGCTGCCCTACAAACAGCAAAGAACTGGCCTGTGGTGCCTCTGCTAGTGACGATGGAACTCAGAAGGGCCACGCACAGCCCTCCCAGGTTCCGTTTTCAGCCGCAACGGCCTCCTGCCACCCTCTGCCAGTGAAGACAGAGCTTGGAAGGGCCACGCAAAGCCCTCCCAGGCTCTGTTTTCAGCCGTAACTGCCTCCTGCCACCCTCTGCCAGTGAAGACTGAGCTCAGTGGGGCACATGTGCACACGCATCACCCCAGGGTCCATGACAGAGGGCGGCAGGAGGTGGTCGTAGATGAAAATGGAGCTCAGGAACCCATTTTTGTTAACTGAGCATTTGGGCCACCACAGATGCCCGCGATATGAGTGACATCAAACGAGCCATGCCCACCCCAGCCCCTGAGGTCAAACACAACCCTGATGTGACCCTCAGTGAAATCGAATTTGACACCCCTGGTCTGTACAGTGTGATGCACAAGGGGACATCACTAGAAAAATCTCTCCAACTGTTCATTAAAATTAAAAAAAGCATTGTCCATATATTTAAAAAGATTCATGTCTTCAGCCGCTCCTCATATGCTCAGGCCTAGAGCAAAAATGGAATCAGGGTTCGAAGTGAGCTCTGTTGGTATGGGTAAGGTGATACTCTTTCAGTTTCTTTTATTGTTGGAGAAAATAAATGCTATTCTGCTTTATTTGGAGCAAGCTACCATGTAACTTTTGTTTCTGAACTGTTATTTTTCATTTTAATTGGCCAGGTGGTTAAATTTATCTTTGGAGTTGTATGCCAATTTGATGAAGTTAAGAGGCAATTCCATGGACAATTTTAGTGGCCCTCCTTCGTTTCATGGGCCCGTTGAATTTCATTTGGCTACCCGTAGATAGAACAACAAAAAAAGTTTGAGGATGCATTTGATTTTTCCAGTTTGAAAGTTCTATAGAAACTGACATTAGTTTTTGTTAGATATTATATGGATGGATGGGGAAAGAATGACAGAAAATACGATAGCCATTTTCAGCTTAGCAGAGCTTCCTTGGTTCAATGGCATTCTCTTGTAATATGGAAAAGATGGATGGATGGATGAATGGATTGACTGAAGAAAAACTTGATTTTCATTTAAAAGACAACAAGATTCTGAAAAATCCGAATGGCTGAAATTTCCAGGAGCTGAAAATGGAAGCATTAGCACCCTGCAAGCTTTTCTGATGTCTTTCATCAATAGTTCCTAATCTGCTAAATTAGCCTAAGGGCCAAAATTCATGACCCACCATCTTAATGGTCAACTGGGAAAACCTACTTCTTGGCCACTCTGGTTGTGATTCTGAGATTCTATCAAGTCAACCATTTATGAATAGGCACAAAAGCCTTTCCAGGGAGTCTGCTACCTCTGATAATTCAGATAAGAAGAAGGATGTAGGAGGCCTCCTGAGGTTTTGGTTGTCTTTCCTCCCGTGGAGAAGCTGTTCATTGTGTGTTGTGATTCCCTCTGCACTCTGAAGTGCTTTGGTCCAGGCGCAGTCGTATCTGGTGATGAGCTGTTGATAGAAGAACTAATCCATACTAAGTGACAGGCAGGATATTCCTTACAGGCTTGCCAAATGGCTGACTTCATGACAAACATCCACACATTTTGTCCTGCTTTCAGAAACAGGCAACATGATTGCTTGTCACCAGCTCTGCCTCTCTCAGGAGGAAATTTAAGGATAATAGTAATAGTGACATCCGAAACATATGATACCTCCAAGGTCCAACATTTGTCTGAGCACAAGAATTCTTCCTCGCTTTACTGAATCTGAAGAAAACTTACATAACAATAACATCCCAGAAGTTCAGCACGGAATAAGCAAGATTGCCTGCTCTTTTCTAGGACTTTTATCACTGAAGGAAACACATTTGCCCGTGGCAAATGTTTGTGTGAAATCAAAGCTTGACTTTGTCCACCCTTCCATTACCACCTCTTGCTACGCCATGCAATAATAGCAATAGCCCTTAGACTTATATACCGCTTTGTAGTACTTTACAGCCCTCTCTAAGCGGTTTACAGAGTCGGCATATTCCCCCAACAGTCTGGGTCCTCATTTTACTGACCTCGGAAGGATGGAAGGCTGAGTCAACCTTGAGCCTGTGAGAATCGAACACCTGGAAGTTGGCAGAATTAGCCTGAAATACTGCATTCTAACCACTGCATCATCGCCGCTCACAATATCTGATTCTTCATAATACCACATTATGAGGAATCAGGTATTTCCAATACTCAGGATCAAATTTCCTACAATTTGGGCTCACAAGATGGATAAGTGCAGGTAATCCTCGCTTAACAACCACAATTGAGTCTGCAGTCTCCCTCATAAGTTGTGTGGGTCATTAAATGGGTCACCACGTGGCCTGGCTCAACTTTACAATCATTTTTACAACAGCGGTAAAGCATGGTTGTTAAGTGAACCACATGGTCATTGAGTGACTCCGTTCTCCCAAAATGAACATTTTGGGCCAAAAACCAGCAAAAAAAAGAGAGAGAGAGAGCACAGATTGTAGTCATTTTACCTCAGGATATGCTGCAACCGGTTGTAAATGCAAGCCAATTGCCCAAACTGGTGCGTGTGTGTTTGACTTTGAGGACAGGCCATAAGTAACTTTTTGGAGGTAGTTGTAACTTTGAACAGTTAAGTAACTGCTTAAATGAGACTACCTATGTATAATATGACAGTAAAAAAAGAAGATAATTCTGTCTTTTTTTTATTCAGTGTTTCTCAATCTTAGAAACTTGAAGAAATCTGGACTTCAATTCCCAGAATTCCTCAGCCAGCATGCCTGACTGAGGAATTCTGGGAATTGAAGTCCACCTATCTTAAAATCCCCAAGGTTAAGAAATGTCTTATCTCATTGGGAAAAGCTCATTTTCTCTACTCATACTTACCATTTCTATCTTCCTTAGATGCTCTTCCCTCTGCAGAAGATGACGATGATGACGATGACTCTTCTTCGGAAGAAAAGGAGGCAGACAACTCCAAGCCGAACCGTACGTATCAGCATCTCTTTTCCCACCTTGTTCAAAAGTAGCCATGACATCTTGCAAAACCCAGTTGGGGATCTTTTTCCAAGCGAACCGAATCTTGTGTAGAACTTTTTTTTTTTTTTCCAATTTCTTGCTTAAGTCTCTTAGCTGTCAGTATAGGAAGATGAGGGAAAAAAAACCCAAATCCTTTCCCTTTTCTCTCTCCTTCGCAGCTTAGAAATCTTCTTAGGGAACAAAGTTATTGTTTTTTTTTAATAGTTTCAATTCCAGGGTACCTTATTTGTTGCTTTTGCTGTTTGACCTGGTCAACCAAAACTTTCTCTTCTTATCTTCCTCCTGCACATTCTTTTCCGGTCGAGTTCTTCTTTGTGGTGGCCATTTCTGACCACCGCTAAAACCACCTTCGGGAAAGGGAGTAATGGCCAGCTGGGGAGGAGAGATGCGGCTCTCCTCAACCCTGCAGGCAGTCTCCCTGCTCTTCACCACCTCTACGGGGTGGCTTAGCCCTGAAACCAGCCAGCTCGGGGCGCTCCAGTGGTGAGCACGGATCGAAATCGCGCAGAGGCACGATTTCGGTCTGTCACCGAAGAAGCTCAAACCGGAAGTCATCGAATCTTTGTAGAACTTTTGATTTTTTTTTTGCTGGGGCTTAAACTAGAGGCGTCTAACCCATGGACAGGGTGGATTTGATTAAATCAAGTTGACTTAAATCATGATTTAAATCACTAATAAAAAAAAGGCTTGGTTTAAATCGAATCGATTTAAATTGTAATTTTTAAAGAGCAGCTGTCATCTCTGTTCTGCAGCGGCGGCTCCTCTAACTCACTGACAGTCCCATTCACTAATGGGATGGCTGGTGATGCGGCAGTGACACAACAATGTGAGGGACGTGGCGGACAGCAGGTGAGTGGATGCCTGCTAACAGGCACCGCCATGATGGATCTGAAATGACAGGTGCTCTTTAAATGTGAAGACTCATTCTTGCTGGTAGTTAGAATCTTTAATATTATTATTTGCAAACAAAATGAAGGTTTCCTATTTAGCTTGCAGAGCTTGGATTAACTGAAGTGAGTTTACCCAAAATGTAAACACTGCAGAATATACAGCCTTAGGCTACATAACTAAGCTCCATTTCATGCTGAATAAATTAAATTATTAATGTACCTTAAATAGAAAACTACCTTTAGAAAGATTTTTACTAAAATAATAAAAATTTTAAAAAATCTGATTTAAATTTTTAAAAAATCCATTTTTAATATATATCTTTTTAAATAAAATCATCGGTTTTTATCCACCTTGCCCCTGGACCATCACTTCGGCTGCTTGCAGTCCCAAATTCTTTTGCTTTGGCCTTCCTCTGACTGCACCACTGATTTTTTTGATTCCTCTCACTTTGAGGCATGGCATGCACAAAAACTATAACATAAGCCTAAAACAGGGGTGGGCAACTATGGCCCTTTTATGAATTATGGACTTCAACTCCCAGAATTCCTGAGCAAGCCATGCTAGCTCAGGAATTTTGGGAGTTGAAGTTCACAAGTCATAAAGGGGCCATAGTTGCCCACCTCTGGCCTAAAATAACCTTTAGTGATTTAACTAAAGAAAGACCACATTGCCTGCCACCCAGGGGTTAAAAAAAACACACAATCACAGTCCTGACCAGAATACACTAGATTCCCATTTATTTTACAAGTAGTCCTTGACTTACAACAGTTTCTTTAGCGACCGCTCAAAGTTACAACGGCACTGAAAAAAGTGACTTATGGCTTTTTTTCACACCACCGTTGCAGCAGGAAAAAGGTCATAAGTCGCTTTTTTCCCATTACGTCGTAACTCTGAACGATTGCTAAATGAACTGTTGTAAGTTGAGAACTACCTGTATATCTGAAAGATTAGTTGAATATTCCAGACCCAATTTCAGGGGTGGGATTCAAACATTTCCGCAACAGGTTCTCTGCCCAGTTTCTGGGTGGGTGTGGCCATGATGGCCGTGGCCTAGTTCGCCTCCTGCACCACAATGGGGGGGGGGTGTTTTCACCCTCCCAGTGCTATGGAGGCTTTTCTCGAGCCTCTGGGAGGGCAAAAACAGCCTCTCCTGGGCTCCGAAGGCCAGAAACGGGCCTGTTTCTGGCCTTCTGGAGCCTCTGAGAGGCCCATTTTTTGCCCTCCCCAAGTCTCTGCATGGGCTCTGTACTTACCTGGGATCCAAAACGGGCCACATGGAGGCTCTGGCGAGGGGAGGGGAGGGGAGGGGTGGGCGGGGCCAACTAGTCATCTGAACTACCGGTTCAGTGAACCAGATATAAAATTAACAACCAGTTCTCCTGAACCGGTCCAAACCGGCTGAATTCCACCCCTGCCCATTTTTTTTTTTTTTTAAAGTTGTGTGGTGAACCATAGTCTGAGATTGATTCTCCAATGTCACCCGATTACCACGGTCAGAAGGATTCCATGCTAGGTAAAGCACCCCAAGTTTTCAACAACCTGAATTGCTCCCTCGGCCCAGGATCCCGAGTGGTTCAGGAGATGCAGATAATGACTTGGCTGCCAAAACTTCCAGTTGGGACTCGAACACCAACAATTCTTGACACTTCCCCCCCCCCCCTTCAATTGTCTTTCTGTTGGAACATCTCCCGCTATCTTTACTCATCTTGCATGGAATGTGGCCTTACGTGCCACCTATTTGTTGGTTCTCCTGCAGAAGTCATCCCACCTTACTGGACCTACCCAGAGAAAATGGAGAAGAAACTCCATGCAGTTCCTGCTGCCAAAACCGTGAAGTTCAGATGTCCCTCTAGTGGGACTCCTACCCCTTCCCTGCGTTGGCTGAAGAACGGTAGGGAATTCAGACCTGATCATCGCATTGGTGGATACAAGGTAAATCAATAAAGAGCTTGTTGTGTTTGGCTTCCTTTTACAATATTTGTTTCTGCAACAGAGAGGGGTTTCTTCTTTAGGCAGCTGTTTGAATTAAGGAGGAGGGGGCTCCCCTAAAGAGTACAGGTAGCCTTACAACTTACAACCACAGTGAGTTTTGCGACCTTTCTGGGGCCCGTTAAGTGAATCACTGCAGTTGTTAAATTAGTGACACCGCTGTTAAATGAATCTGGCTTCCGCCCCCATTGACTTTGCTTGTCGGTGGACTGCAAGCATCATAAATAATATTTTTTTTGTAATAAGTTTTTATTTTATTTTATAACTGTTCTCACCCAGGCTTCGTAAACCATAATCGCGCACAAACTTATTTTAAAAACAAGTCTTATTTTATTGCAATGCTGGGAATTGTTTTCATTCCCAGCCGGTAATGAATCTCAAACAGTCCCTTGAGATAAGCACCCACCTTTCTTCCCTGCGAAATGCTGCCAATAACAGAAGTGTCAAGTAAACTAGAACAAAAACCAACTGAAGCGGAAAGAGCTTCAAGAATGAATCTGAACCAAATGAACGACTTTGCTTCCTGCAAAGGTTTTGTCATCTTTGCCTGTCCTTTATACCTTACGGAAGGGGCAATCACCTCTCAGTCTTACTCCTGAGTAGGTCCTTTTATCTCAGCTGCTCTTGCCTTCTAGCAGCTCTGTGCACACATACATTGGGAACAGGCTCCCCTGGGTCCTCTTCCTCGCTGCTTCCAGACTCCAAAGGCTCCGAAGGCAGCACCCCACTCTCAGATAGTCCTGGGCCTATCCCTGCATCGGATGCAGGACCCTTGTCCGAGTCCTCTCCAGACTCCCAGACTGGTCCCCATTCTTCCCCACTGTCCAATTCCGCTGCCAGCTGCACTGGCTGCTGGCAAACCACAGCAATAACATACAAACATTCAAATTTCAATTGAACAGTGTCTTGTCCTGGGTACAAATCATTTTAGGAAATCATAATCACAGTATTTACAACAATGTTCATTGCATTAATATCCATTATATGCAAGCATCATAAATATGAACCAGTTGCCAAGTGTTCGAATTTTGACCTCAGGGATGCTACAATAGTCATGTGAAAAATGGCCTTGAGTCACTTTTTTCAATGCCGTTGTAACTTTGAACACTCAATGAACTGTTGTAAGTCAAAGACCACCTGTACTAAGTTCAGGATCTGCAATTCTCTCACTGCAGCACAGGTTACAAGGAAAAGGGGGTTTTGTCATCAGCCTTAACATTTTAAGCTGAGGTAAGGCAATAAAAGCTTCGCCGGAAGGGCTCCTGGGTTATACCAACCCCCATCTCACCTTTAAAATAATTCCCCAACAAAATAAGGGAAAGTTGGACAATCTGTGGCCCCAGGAGATTTTGGGCTCCCTAAGTACTTTTGCCTGGAGCCTCATCTTATCTCTGTTGCTGAAAAACAGTGGACTGGTCTCCTGCCGTTTGGAGCCAGAGAAGTTGCACTAACAGTGCATATTTTATGTCCTCTTGAGTGTTTTAAAACGACCTTCTTCCCCATCTAGAAAACTGGGTAGGTGGGGAGGGAGAAGGAATGAAATCCTGGCCTTTCTCTGTCGACTTTGGCCTCCCTCCCACCAAAAAAATAATAATCTTAAAGAGTTTCTCCTGACCCACAAGGTTGCTTTTTAAATAATCTCACAATTCATTTCACAACTGCAGGGATTCACTTGTGCGATTAAACAAAACAAAATTGAGTTGTAAAATCAGGTGCAATTTACTTCATGGCTGCTTCGCTTAGCAGCAGAAAAATCTGGGTCCCAGTTGTAGTCATAGGTGGAGGACTGTATTCATCACTGCCAAGGCTCCTCGCCCCTTAAGATCTCTTTCAAGCCAAGCGAAGGCATTTGGCTGGACTTCACAAGAGACATTTAGCTGAGCGCACAGCAGACGTTGAGTTATTCTGAATCATGTCTGATTCCTCTGCCGCCTGCACAGGCTACCGGCAAACCACAACACCGTCAGTCACTGGGGGTGGGTTGTGTTGTGTATTTTTTCTTCGTTCTGTGCTGGATTAGCTGAGCTCTTGGTCACTTCCACCAAACAGGCGAAACCTCTTTTTCAGAAAAGGTTGGGTCATTCTGGTTGTCCCTTTTGTGGCTCTTGATGGTCTTTGCAGGCTACTAGCCTTGACAGATGTTGCCTGCAGCTTGGCAAAGAGGAAAGGGGGTTGCTGAAAACCTCAGGTAGAAAGTAAAAAAGGCTCAAATTTCGGGGCTCTAAAGGTTTATTACCATGGTTGACTCTATAGAAATCGTTGTTTAAAAAATCATAGATATGGGAAATGGAGAGAGAGAGAGGTGCTGCCACATAGGTCATCCATTCCATGCTGGATTCATAGTGGATACTTCTCCCATCACAGGACTCCTTCCTTCTTTCCTTTCTTCCTTCCTTCTTTCTTTCCTTCCTTTTTTCCCTCCATCCCTTCTTTTCCTTCCTTCCCTCTCTCCTTTTCCTTCCTCCCCTCTCTCCTTTTCCTTCCTTCCTTCCTTCCTTCCTTCCTTCCTTCCTTCCTTCCTTCCTTCCTTCCTTCCTTCCTTCCTTCCTTCCTTCCTATCCTGCCTTTATCATTTTTAGCAATAACTCAAGGTGGCAAACATATCCATCCCATCTTCCTTCTCCTATTTTCCACACAACAACAATCCTGTGAGGTGGAATAAGAGAGAGAGAGAGAGAGAGAGAGAGAGAGTGACTGACCTAAGGTCACCCAATTTTCTCTCTTGGAGGAGCTGTTGGTGGATTTTGCAAAAAAGAAATAACCCCAACATTTTGGCTGTTTTTTGTTGGTAGTATCTGTTGTAGTATTTTCTCTGTATTTCTGTGTATTTTTCTAAGCATCATCTGATCTGCAGACTCTCAACCAAGGCCCCAGTTCTGACCTTTGGGTTTTTGGTTTAACTTTCCTAAGGCATTTTTTAAAACAAATCTCCTTGATTTTTAATAAAATTGCATGTTTTTATGAGGTTATATTTTAGCGCCTCCTTTTTACATAGGTTGTAGCTTATAGACCCGTGAGTGTTCCTTAGCTTGAAGTATTGCTTTTGTGAATTTTTCTATGTTGCTTGGTGAGGTTGTGCAACTTGCAAGGCGGAATAGGATGGATGGATAAACTGTCACTTTAGTGAAAAAAACAGGTGGTCCACACATTCAGATTCCAGATTTGGAGATGCTGCAAATAAATGTACGTCTATGTACTGTGTGGTTTCTTGGTGAAACTTGGGGCTAACTAACCTTCCTTCGTGGGAGGAAAACAGCCGTATTTTCAGGTCTGGTTCTTGTGCTGGCAAAGCACCTTCATCCCACTCTTCAAGAATAATCTGTTTCCAGATGTAGATGGCTCTGTGGTCAACCCTGCAGCTGACAGCAATTACGAGCCTGCAAGCTCGAAGAGGAAAACTTAGCCACAAATTGATGATGTTACGTGCAGCCTAGAGGGTCTGGAGGAGACCTTTGGTCTTCCTCTAAGATGAAAAGGCAAAAGTGCAGTCACGTCCACCATCTCCCTTTGTTCTTGAGTCCCAACCCTCAAGTCAACAGGTAGCCTCTCTGAGTCATTTCATCCTCTTTCAACAGGTTCGCCATCAAACTTGGAGCATTATCATGGATTCTGTGGTCCCATCAGATAAAGGCAACTACACTTGCATTGTGGAGAATAAGTATGGAACCATCAATCACACCTACCACCTTGATGTTGTTGGTAAGAAATGGGAATCTTCAGAAGGGGGAGGAATTGCAGTGTATGCTACTTTGTGACGTCTGGCTCATCTTTTAAGCGGACCTGGCTGACCAGTGACAAATAGCAATAACAGACTTATGTACTGCTTCACAGTGCTTTTACAGCCCTCTCTAAGTGGTTTACAGAGTCGGCATATTGCCTCCAATAATTTGGATCCTCATTTTACCCACCTCAGAAGGATGGAAGGCTGAGTCAACCTTAAGCCTGGTGAGAATTGAACTGCCAAATTGCAGGCAGCTGGCAGTCAGCAGAAGTAGCCTGCAGTACTACATTCTAACCTTGGTTTGTGGTTCGCTCACCACATCATCCAAAGCAAGATAGGAGAAAACCAGGATTTTATCTCTGGCTGACAGGACACAGCTAATATTGCTGGTAAATTTGGTTTGCTGTGGAAACCATGGACAGCTCCATCCATGATTGGGCTGCTCATAGCTGACAGTTTTAGTTTCCCTGAAACATAACTGTGAAATAATGTGACAGTCAGTTCTGCAACCAATATCTTTTTGGCACCAGTAATGTTCTGGTGTAGGAGTCTATGTTTGTTAGTATTTGTATATGAAGAGGAGAATGCTGATGTAAGAGACATTGAAAGTTTCAGAGCTCTACAGATAATGAGATCTTTGCCTTGATGATGCAGCCAGAATATTTCCTGCTTTGAATTGAAAAGCAGGAAGGAGGCCTGGAAAGTGATAATTGATTAATAAAAGCAAGACATTACAGGAAGAGCTATTGGATTCTTAACTCCTTGTAATAGAGTGGTTTAGGTAAGAGAAAACCAGGCAGAGCTGGTGGCTGGAGTTAAGCGCATCATTAGCTTAGAGTCTTGACGTTCCCACAAACAGTCTAAGTCCAACCCTCTTTGAATTCCATTGACCCTTATCTGGAACCAATGTAGCACTGAATTTAGTTGATTAAATTGTGTACAGCCTTGAGCAAGGGTCTTCAAACTTGGTAAGTTTAAGACTTGTGGGCTTCAACTCCCAGAATTCCTGAGCTAACATGACTGGAGGAGGAATTCTGGGAGTTGAAGTCCACAAGTCTTAAACTTGCCAAGTTTGAAGACCCATGGCCTTGAGCAATAAATCTTCTGGACTGCAACTTCATGTATGGTCCTGCTCCTTTGCATCTGACGTTAATCTCTCAGACCATTTGTGGGGGTATAATGACTCCAAGCTTATGATACACTTAACTTCGCCCACCTGCTCTGTCTGCTCTTCTACAGTGTATTGGTTTTTTTTTTTTCCCCTTTGGTTTTTGGAAAGTCCTTGGATCAGGAGTGTCCAACCTTAGCAACTTTACAACTTGTGGCCTTCAATTCCCAGAAATGGATATCTGGGGAATTCTGGGAGTTGAAGTCCACGAGTCTTAAAAGTTTCCAAGGTTGGACACCCCTGCCCTAGAATGGGTAGACGGAAGTTCTCCATAAGCCTCCCAGCCTTTCTGGAGGAGACAGAAGAAATGCAGGCTGCATTTTAGCTTGGGGTTGCCTCTGTGTCCAGAGAGGTCTGTTCCCAAGAGTTCACTTTTTAAATTTTCACCCATACCACCTCTCAGAAGGCTGCCTCCACCACTCAAACCCGAGGCTTTGTCTCATCTTGCATGTCACATTTATGGTAATTTCGGAGGCTATACAAGAACTTTTTCTCATCAGCCTCCCCAATTAATTTCCTGATTAGTCTCGATTCCCAACCTAGGCTTGCTGATCTCAGTCGTTTGTGGAGTTGCTCTAAATGCCACTAAATGAACCATTAAGAATGCAATTTAATTTGATTACACTGAGCAAACTAAAGGAAATAGGTTGCAAGGGGGAACAAAGGGGTTGGTTAATGCTCACTCACTATGGTGTCTGGTTCTTTGTTAATCAACTAGGGCCTTGTTAGATTTGTTTGACCTTTGACTTCCAGTGAAGAGGTAGCCATATTTGCTCCCCTCCCAGCCCCCCTGAAGCCCAAGTCCAGTTCCAGAAAAATGAACCTCTCAGATCCAGTTGTGTTCACTGACATCCATGGTGGGGGGGGAAAGGGGAGTGAGAAATTAATATAGAATAGATAGATTCAAAGAAGAAAACGAAAAAAAAATCTTCACTTCGCTACTTGGACAAAACATCTGATGATTTGCCTTGTCGTGACCTCGTATTTTATTACTGTAAATCCACAGATAGAAACTAATTATTCGTTGGAACTTCTGATCTACGTGTTTGTTTTTCCCAATAGACTTTTTTCTTTTTAATTGCTTCCTATTATGTGGCATTTTCCACAGACAATGAACTCTGAGATGTTAGAGTTAATTCAATATCGGGAAACTGATTAATCCAAGCATTATTTCATGGGGGTGTGTCTTATGAAGCAACGACTAACGTGAAGGCTTCACACTGGCTTTTATGCAAGAGCTAAGAGCTTGGTCCTTCTAATGAAACTGACAGCAACCCAGATGGGGGTAGAGATTGAAAACACGGATGAGGACAGTCATGTGAAGTTTTGCAAAAGTTTGCCTTTTAATCCAAGATAATCACCGCTTTTGGCAGGGGAAAAAAACCTGGTCCTGTGATATTTCCTTCTTGAAGCAGAATTCGACTGTAGAATACAGTGGTGGGGGCATTCACTAAGAACTCTTAACAAGCAGCAACAAGGACATATTCCCTTCATATTTTTAATAAGTGACAAGCTACAATATTTTTAAAAAAGCAGGGGAATCTTGGCTCTGGCTTCTTGTAATTAAGGGGGAAACATTTTTTTCCCCCCTAATCCCTGCTTTGTCACATCAGAAGTGAAGATGTGAAGAAGGCAGACAACCGGGAAGCTTTAGTTTCTGAGCCAGCTGTCGTAATTCTCTTTTGTTTCTAAGAAGTTGCCCACTCTACTTCTATCTGCATCTGAGTAACTGCAGGGGGTTCACTCAACTGCTTTATAGCTTTCTGGCCAGGCGATTCAAACACACACTTCTCCTAAGTGTAGAAGTGACCCACACGTGACCTTCTCTACCATCGAATTTGCAGCTTTTGAATATGGCCAACACGGCATAATCAAAATTTGCCCCTGCGGTCCAACACGCACAAAGGAGAGTATAAAGCTTATTTAAGGCTGAGGTTTTGTAGAGTCTCAGCAGGTAGCCCTACCTAGCTGACCTTTCCTGAGCTAAGATGGTAGGATTCATCCTAGTTAGCATTTGAATGGGAGACAATGAAAGAATACTAGAGCTGTAAAATAGACTGAAAAGATTTTTTTTATTATTAAAAAAAAGAATGGGAAAGGGCAAGGGCACCCACAGCTCTGCGTTGCCAAGAAAATATTGATGCTTCTATAGAATCACCAAGAACCCAAGCCCATGAAAGGGCATCTTTACCTTTAATGTCATAAAAGCTACAATCGTGGTTTTTCTCATCTGCTCGGAGGCATAAACTTAAAATGGTTGCCTGGACAAATAAGGATTCATGAGAAGGTTACGTTAAAGAACTGCCTGCAAAGGTCCTTTATCAGGGGAAAGAATCCCAGCTCATAAGTTCTCAGAAAGAGAAAGGAAAGGAAAGGAAAAGAAAAGGAAAGAAAGAAAGAAAGAAAGAAAGAAAGAAAGAAAGAAAGAAAGAAGGAAGGAAGGAAAGCAAGAAAGAAAGAAAGGGAAAGAAGGAAGAAAAAGAAAGAAGGAAAAAAGAAAAGAAAAAAAGAGGGAGGGAAGGAAAGAAAGAGAAAGGTGGGAAGGAAGGAAGAAAAAGAAAGAGGGGAGGAAGGAAAGAAGGAAGAAAAAGAAAAAAGAGGGAAGGAAGGAAGAAAAAGAAAGAAAAGAGGTAGGGAAGGAAGAAAAGGAAAGAAAAAAGGGAGGGAAGGAAGGAAAAGGAAGGAAGAGAAAGAAAGAAAGAAAAAGAAAGGAGGGAAGGTAGGAAGAAAAGAAGAAAGGAAGGGGGAGGAAGGAAGGCTCCAATTCTAATGAACTTTGGTGCACATTGGTATGACATGGGGAGGAATAAATCTCAATAAATCTTGCTTTAAAAAAGAATTATCTGAAACTCGTGTTAGAAGAGAATCACTGTTGATGTGAGGAAGATGTCAAAGAGGTGGGGATTTCCCCAACCCCCTTGGGAAGAAGGGGGACACTGGGTTTGGGTGTTGATAACATCCATAAATGAGTTCAGATTGCCTCAGGAACCTTTGAGGGACCTCTCCCTCAACAGTTGAGATGACATCCAGAGCCACCTCTGGTAACTCAAAGATCTCCAAATCTTGACTTTTCTTCAGCTGTTAGTTGGGCAGCAGGAATCCCCTCCTTCAAACTGGTGTTTTAGCATTCTGATACAGACCAGAGAAAGGAGTATTCAAAATGCCAAGAGATGTGGAATTTGACTGTATTGTTTGTACGGGGTTTTTTTTTTAGCAGTCGTGAGCAGGCAATGGATTATCTTAGTAGTGCTTCCTTTCTCTGGAGTTCAGGAAAAGATAAAATAAGTAACTAACTTGCTACTGTTATTCATTGCAATTTTCAGGATTTTATAACGCACTGTTTTTGAAAACTAACATAAAGCAAAATCCACACAAAAATTAGTACGTGTCCCTCCAAAACACTGAGAAATTGCTTGCAAAGGAGAATGTCTATATTTAAAAAGTGTACACCAAATGTGTATCCTAAATAGGCCACAATCACGAAACATCAAATTCAAAATTAACCAGAAATGGAGATTTTTGTATGCTGAGTGGAATTATTTCCTTCAGAGATTTAACTGATATAGATGTTATCTTTTGTTTGGTTGAGGTAAAAGCAATTGCTCACTTAAGTTCTTTTTAAGTCGTAATACTTATTGCAATCTACTTTTTTGTTTGCTAAGCTAGTTTTGTTTGTAATATTTGTTTTTCTTTCTTTCTGGAGTGAAACTCTCTTGACTGACTGGCAGCACCAAAATAAATTGGCAGAGTGATATGGACTCTCTCGCCATTTCTTCTTCTCTTGCGTTTGTCAGCCTGCTTGAAACTCTTTTCTCTTACGTGTTTTCTAGAAAGATCTCCTCACCGGCCTATCCTACAAGCTGGGCTCCCAGCTAACAAGACAGTCTCATTAGGTAGCAATGTGGAATTTGTCTGCAAGGTCTATAGTGACCCTCAGCCCCACATCCAATGGCTGAAGCACATTGAGGTCAATGGAAGCAAGATTGGACCAAATAACTTGCCTTTTGTTCAAGTCTTGAAGGTAAGGTCTTTCCACTTGGGTGATGTGACAGTTGAGTTATTTCTTAAATCTTAGGAGGGGAAGCTCATGGTACATCTCAGAAACACGGCCATGTAGCTTGGATTGGAAAAGTCATATGGGTCCAGTCAATCAGACAGACAATGCCAACTCATCTAACTTTGGAACTTGGCAGTTCTAGCAAAATCTACAAAAGGGGAGCAGGTTCTAAAGAAGATCTGCTTGGATGAAACTCTTATGCCATGGTTCATGTCTACGGTCATGAATAGAATCAAAGGCAATCATCAAGGACACAATGTTTGAGGACTCTGAAATGGCCAGGGACTTCTTTTATTGGAGGCTCTCCTCATCAAATGTTAAAGATTGCTTTAAATATCCTTGTATGCCAAAAAGAATTTCCTGTAGTTTTCCAGTATCTTCTGGTAAGACTGCCTCTTTGGAACTGAAGTGGACCACACCACTGTAAAATGAACACACTTGCTCCTTTAGCATGTGTTTGGGAGGCAACCTTTAAGCTGAGATCATGGGTGGACTTTTGGAAGCATATGGTGGATACATTCACAAAATGGCTGCCACTGAAAGCTTTGACAAAGTGGCATATAAATGTAATAATAAATGACTATGCCACTGAGTGTCACAGACAAACATTACTTGTTTTTATCAAAAGACAAACTGGTTCCCTGAAATGTTCTCTGTCAGCTTTGGAAGCCATATTCCGTGCTGCCACATAGCCTGAGAAAGTTCAACTGAGTAGCTCTAAGTAGACAAAATAAAATTCTTTTGTGATGATGGCCAAGTGGGGATGGATTTATAGTTTGGGAAATTGTGGGAAGCCTGAAAACTTTTAGGTTCGGGATTCCACAGATGTGCCAGGTGCTATTCTAATAAAGATACTTTTCAGATATGTTTGTCTCGGAATTACTGATTGGAGTGGAAGTTTGCTGGAATGCTAACAGTTCTCAGCATCCCTGGAGGACCTCAAAGACATTTGGTAAAAGAGGATGATCTTGGATCATTGCTGGGCAATGCCAAATGTTGGATTTCTATTGAAGTCTTTTGAAAAGTCAACACTGAGAAAATTTTGAAAGAGACAGTGTCAGCGTTCCAACTAAGCAACTCCAAACCAATAAACTCCGAGACAAACAGTTCCTCAAAGTTCCATTTTATTAGAATTGTCAAATTGGCATATCTGGGAAAACCCAAATCTGAGAGATCCGTGTTTTCCGCTTCCCAAAAGAGAAATCAAAGATCCATCCTCTGCACCCATCAGTCCATCACAGGGTCCAATCAAGTCTTCTTTCCCAACTGGAGACACCCCTCCCCTGCATCCATCAGTCCATTGCATGGTCCAATCAAATCTTTGTCCCAACTGGAGACACCCCTCTCCTGCATCCATCAGTCCATCGCATGGCCCAATCAAATCTTCTTTCCCAATTGGAGACATCCCTCCAGTCACTCCCCTCCAGGTGCAGGACAACATGTCCTTGACTCTTTGAGAAAGAATGTTGTTGTGTCTAATCTTCTACCTCACTGTGAAACACCCCTCCCAAATTCCCAGGCACTGAATGTGGCAGCTTCGACACTTCCAAGTAAAAAATAGCTTCCAAGGCTGACAGACAGAGAATCCCTTTGAAAGTGTCACTCTTAGACACACCAAGGCTATGTTTAGGAATAAAACTGCTGTCCATGAGCTTCTTATTATCACTGATGCCTGCTACAAGGTATACAAGCAAGACCTGGGTATAATATAGTTGGTGTTCCTAAAGAGGGCTTTCCCAACCGCGGCAATTTTAAGATGCATGGACCTCACCTTCAACTCCCAGAAATTCTGGGAGTTGAAGTCCATGCTTCTTTAAATTGCCAAGGCTGGCACACCCCTGTCCTACAGCTTTCTCGGAAGTGAGAGATGCCAGCAAACGGGTGGGGGGGGCGGATGGGGAAAGGGGAGGCGGACAGGGAATGTCCCACTCCTTGTTTTGGATTGAGGCGAGGGGAAGCGGTCATGGGATTGTCGGTGTTGTCTCAGAGCTGCGAAGCCCATCCCTGTGTGACTCCTGTGTTGTTGGTCTTGTTCTAGCACTCAGGAATAAATAGCTCTGATGCGGAAGTGCTGACCCTCTATAATGTGACAGAGGCTGAAAGCGGGGAGTATGTTTGTAAGGTTTCCAATTATATTGGTGAGGCTAACCAGTCTGCGTGGCTGACCGTCACCAGACCCATGGCTGAAGGTAAACGGGAAGAATGCCACTTTGGGCGATTCTTAGCGGTGGGAAAACCAAACTTTTGTGGCTCTCCTGTTTCTCCTCTGTTTCTGGTGCCAGAAGCCATGGAAAAATCCTCGGAACGGCTGATCAGTTATGTTTCACGCTCTTCTCCTCTTCCTCTTCCTCTTCCTCTTCCTAACAGTGTGTTGTTGCATTCATCCTGAGCAGGGGGTTGGACTAGAAGACCTCCAAGGTCCCTTCCAACTATTCTACTCTACTCCACTCCACTCCATTCCATTCTAGTCCCTAATCCTCTTCCTTTATGAATTAAACTAGAAATGAGAAACTATTCCTTAAATTCTTCTGCTGAACACCAAATTGTGGGATTCTTTTTCCCCCTCCATCAGGGTCCTGTTATAAGCTGGTCGGAAGAATATTGATAATGATCTCATTTCTTCCCAAATTATTAAAATATTTCCATATCGCTGTCTCAGCCTAGATCCCCTATAGAGACCGCAAAATCAAAACCTCCCTTGAAAGAAGTGCCCCTTTGTGTGGGTGTTACACTGTTTGCCCCATTGCTTTTAACCTGGCTGTCGATGATGCAGGCCTTCCTTTTGAGTAGGTCTATTTTTGAATTCTGCTACTGCCTTCACTTTTCCCGCCAAAACAAAATGGTGGCTCCTCTTGGGTGTCTTCCTGCTGGAAGCAACCTGCTCCCTCTTTGTCAAGAGTCTGTCGGCTTCTGTCCTCCAGATTTTCCCTCTTCTCTGCCCCTTCCACTTCCATCCATCCCTTGGCCTGTCCCATGCTGTGAAACTAAGCTGGTCTCCGCCTTCCCAAGGTCCATTTTTCCATGTGGCCCATCGCCCAGCATGTCGATGGGCAGGGAAATTCAATATGGTGAAGGGTTGTTTTATTGTTTGTTTTTAACACTGCCCGCTTTAAGCCAGCCTGGACTGGTGGTTGCCCTATGGATGTCTTGTCATTAGGCTACAGTGGTGTCTCTGTGTCCTTCAGGAGATCTTGAGAGGCATGTTTATCTCCTTCCTCTTCCTTCAGCTTGTCTTACATTTGCTCGTCCTCTGTTCCTTTTTTTTTGTTTTGTTTTGTTTTGCTTCCATTTTTCTCCCCCCCTTTCTAGACAGCTGGTGTTAACACAACTGACAAAGAAATGGAAGTCCTTCACTTAAGGAATGTCTCCTTTGAGGATGCTGGGCAGTATACTTGTTTGGCGGGTAATTCTATTGGGATCTCCCATCACTCTGCATGGTTGACGGTTCTAGAAGGTATATACCGGTTCTGTTCCTTTCTCTGTCTCCTTGCTGTCTCTTTGACTAGCTTTGGGAAGTAGCTTGCCATGGTTTGCAAGAGCTGGGCTATTTGGAGGTGGGGGGGAGGAGGGGGAGGAATAGTAGAAGGCCCCCACCAATTGGCTTCCTCTTATGGATGGGATGTTGAATCAAAATGTGTCTGCCAGCCCCTGTCCAATATAGGACATCTCTATCATCCTGCAAGGTAAGCCATCACCTCCCATTTGGTCCTCGTTCCTCATCGGCTAAATTGGGATAATTCACAGCACCATCATGGCTCTCGCAAGCCAAGGTCTCGTGCATTTCTGATTTGAGCTAGAACTCAACTAGAGGCTAGATCCAAGTTTTTCATAGGCCGGTTCCATTCTTTCAAGGCAGGCTGTCACCCTTTCTGTGCTTTGTCTTTGTCAGAGGAATGACAAGAGTTGGCACACATGGCCCAAAGATTCAATTCTAGGAGATATACGAGATGGACTTGGGGATGACAGGAAAGCCAGCCAAAGACAATACAGGATAGAAAGAGGGGCAACGCTTGAGATCCTTTGCATTCTCAGCTTTTTCCAAATTGAAGACACACCTGTAAATGCTCAAATGCCTCTTTGAAAATTCACCTTTACCCAAACTGTATTGCTTTCCAAAAAGAACCATTAAAAGACAGCAATGAGCCCCAGGCCCTACCAAGGAGCCATTGTAAAATTCTCTTTATCAGGGTTGCGGTGCTGAGTGCCTGTCTAATGTTCACTGGGTACAAGTAAGAACCTCTAACACGCTGACTTTCTCATTCTTGGGAGTATTAAGCTCTGCCCTCCTTCATCACAATAAAATGCCAGTTGTAAACTTAAGGAGCCACTGGCTGCCCTTTTATCCAGGTGTGGTCCACATGTACAAATACATCTACTTAGATGTCAGCACAACAGCACAATAATTGTTCACCATTGCATATAGACATCCACATGAACAACCTCACTCCAAAGTATTCAACAATATATGTAGGAATCCTGAAGGGGACAACTTGCTGCAGCCATCTTACCATAGCCATGGACGGTTTCATGCAGGATAACTCAGTGCAATAAACGTTACCCACCGCTGTTGTTTTGACATTATTTCCATTGACAAAAATGGAAATAATGTTGAAGAAACAGTAGTGGATAACTACTATTGCATTGAGTTTTCCCATGTAGAATTGTCCATGGCGAGTTGTCCAGGCGAGTTGTCCCATGGCGAGTCGGCCAAGCTGAGTTGGCCATGGTGAAATAGCCATGGCAAATTGTCCCCATTCTTCTTGGAGGAGCTGGAGATCCATTTTTTTCCCCTTTTCCCATTTATCTTGATGCAAGAGACACAGGAGAAGACGAGACCTAGTGGTTCCTAGTTGTCTCCCGAAAGAGCTGATTACCAAAATGAAGAGCCCCGAGACCCAAAATTATTCCTACACGTCCTTGAATGAGACTGGAATCTTGCCTTGGTAGATTGGAATCTTGCATTCTCTGTGGGCTTAGGAGGTTCTGCATGAGTTTCTCTTGGTGGACAGGTCTGCTGGCTCGGTGATGGCTTCTTTTTCCAGCCATCAGTAGGTGGCCAGCAAGAACCTGATAACTGACTGGGGAGAAAGGCATGAACTATGGCTATAGATTGTATTCATGCTCCCTTCCAAGTCTTTTCTGTTTTCCTCTCTTCGTCTCATGTCCGCTCATTCACTGCCCTGCCATCTTTGATGGGAAAGGTGATAACAGGGCTGTCAATTTTCTTCGATCACATCTCCTCTACCCTCCTCCCATCCCCACTGCCATTCTCTGTTTATTATTTTGGGAAAAGAAAGTTGGAGTGGGGAAGGGGAAACTTTGACTTCTTGCTTCATCCCTTTTCAATCATTGTATCTCTACTCATACATTCAGATTGTTGATATAATACCAGCATTTTTTTTTTCCTTGCTGGTATTATACGATGTATATTCAAGCTTTAAGCTGTTGCTGCAGTAGCATTAGTTAGAAAAGGCTAAGTAAGGTGGCACTGCCATCTCAGAAACTGTTCTGCTGCTGAGAATATTTCTGAGCAAAACTTTTTTCCAGTTTGATACAACAGAAAAAAGCGGCACCATTTGATCTCTTTGATATATCCGATGTGCCAACCTGGTCTGTATTATTCTGGAAAGTTTTCTTTGGCCGCATGATGAGGTCCATAAGTCAGCAACATTTTTCAAAGTAGAACAAAATGAATGAGCTGGAAATCTTCCTCCTGCATTTATTATTTAAGGGGCATTTGGGAGGGAAGAATATAAAAGAGAGGACTCTTATCTCCCTCCAGCATCCTGTTCCACAGGCCAAGCTCAAAGGAAGCCTCTTTCGAAACAGGCACTGCCGTAACATCAAACACGAATGGGCTTTCTTTCGATTCAGTAGCCACGTGTGAAGTTACGGACGAAAGGAAGGCATCCCAGCATAGCATAGCAAGATTTCGTTCTGGAAACTGGATTGGTGGTGCTGGTTGGGTTGAGAGTTGAAAAGTCTTTGCTATCACCTCTCCCTCTTTTATATCAAAGTCATGTAGAGGTCTACAGAAACACCCCCAGCTTCATGTTCAATGGTACAGATACTGTACCAAGCCAGCTTTTTAAAATCATAATTTCTTGACCAATCACTCATGCCCTGATTGAAGTATTATACTAAACCATAGCAAGATTGACAAGCATATCATGCCAGGACCAACACTGTGGGCTGGGCATGAGCTGTCCTTTTGATCCTACTGATTTTTCTAGCTGCCCCGATGGAAGATCTTCTGTGCTAATGCTTTCTTTATACCGATTCAGCTATAGAAGACAAACCAGCTATGATGAGCTCCTCTTTGTACCTGGAGATCATCATTTACTGCACAGGGGGTTTCCTCATCTCCTGCATGATCGTGAGCGTCCTCTTTTACAAGATGAAGAGCACTACCAAGAAGACCGATTTCAACAGCCAGATGGCTGTCCATAAACTGGCCAAGAGCATCCCTTTGCGCAGACAGGTAACAGAAAGTAGATAGGGGGTTTGATTGCAACCTATGATTCCCCCTTCCCTTTGAGACTGTAGCAAAGCAGGCCGCGGGTCCATCAGAGGCATCTGTTCTTCTTTCCAACTCAACAGAACGTTAAGGAGATAATGGGTAGCATTCTAATACTTCGTCCGCTAGCAGGATAACTCTCCAAAATCTAAATAGAACAGGAGCAAAAAAAGGGCGGGCGGAGAAAGAAGCTACCCAAAGGAACTTGAAGTTTGAAAATGAGCTCCATCTGGCAAGGAGCTGTGGATAAAAATGCCCCCCCCATCCATTACCATGGGAGAGGCAGTTGGGCAATAGCTCAGAATATTACTGACGGCTTCATTGTTAAGTTCCAGTCCTTGTTCGATAAATGACCAATAGCAGATGTTCCAGGTTGGGGGAAAAGATAATTATACAGCATCGGTGTCAAATTCATCGTGTCACATTGTCGTGACATTTTCCCCTTCACAGACTTGGGGTGGGCATGGCTTCTTTTTTTGCATTCCCCCCGCCCCCGGTGTTGTTGTGGGGTTTTTTTTTTTGCCTCCTGGGCCTCAGGGAAGCCTGCTGGAGAGCATTTTTGTTCCCAGAAGGCTTCCCTGGGTCCAGGAAGGCAAAAAAAAAAAAACAGAGCATGAGGGAATGCCCAACACCCCCCCGTGCTCCATTTTTGGGTCTCAAGGGAGTCTCCTGGGGTGGGCGCTTTTTGCTCACAGGAAGCTTCCCTGGGGCCCAGGAAGGCAAAAATGGAACACAGGGGGCACTCCATTTTTGCCCTCCTGGGCCCCAGGGAAGCCTCCTCGGCAAAGCAATAAGACAGTGAGAGGAATCCTGGCACAGCTGATCATTGAAACAGCTGATTGTTGGGAGGAGGAAAAAAAGAAAGACCTTAAGGGCGGGGAGAATGCAGTCAGCGATGTCGGACATGTGCTCAATGTCACGCGTATATGATAAGGACTGACTGGGCAGGGAGGGAAGGGGAGGGGCCAGCCAGGGTGCACGATTTGCCGGTTTTCTGAACTGCACATAATCATAACATCCGGATCTATAGAACCAGTTCGAACCGTTAAAATCCCACCCCTGATAAATATATACCTGTTGCCAAGTGCCTGAATTTTGATCACATGATCCTGGGAATGCTGCAGCAGTCAAAAATGTGAGAACTGGTCATAAGTCACTTTTTTCAGTGCTGTTGTAACTTGGTCACTAAACAAATGGTTGTAAGTTGAGGTCTATGTGATCCTAAAGAGTTGCTCCCAGCCTTCTTCAGCATATGTTTTTATTCTTTGGAAAGGAGAAACTGGTACCAGAGAGAGCTCTTTAGTTTACCAGAAATCTGGGCAGAGATTAAAATATGTAGCATCTGTGGGTATTGCTGGCTCCCAGGATTCTTCCTTTTCCCCTCAATTTAGACAGCTTTGTTTTAAAACCACCTAAAATATTGCAGGGATGCGGAAGTCTCATTAATGAAACTTTGGAGCTCACCTGAGAAGGAAGGAGAAAGCCCCAGAGGTAGAAAATTGTCAGTAATAATGACTATCCATATGATGTTAAAGTTGTTCTGACAAAGGTTTCCTGAGACACCAACAAACACACGTTAAATCCCAAACCCTTTTATTTTAGTTCAACGGCTGTGAATTAACGTCATTCACAGGCCATAATGAGTCTCAACCAGTTATAAGTAGTCCCATGGAAGTCTGTCAAAGTCCTTCAGGAGAAGTCTGATAAGAACGCACCTTTATCTTTCTTGAAGTACTGCCAACAACTAAAGTACCAATTAGTCTTTCAAAACCAAACTGAGCACAAAGTCAACACAGAGCTTCAGAGTTTAAACTGATCAGAACGAACAAAGTTGCTTCCTGCAAAGACTCATGTCCCTTTCCTCCTCCTTTATGTCTTATGGGAGGGCCAATCACCTCCAAGCCTTATTCCCGAGTCGCCCTTTTTGTCTTAACTGCTGTTGCCTTCTGGCAGCTCTACGCACACGTGCACTGGGAACAGGCTCTCCTTGTTCCTCTGCCTCACTGCTGTCAGATTCTGGAAGCTCCGGAGTCACCACATAACTCCCAAATGGCCCTGGCCCCACCTCTGTATCGGATGCAAGACCAACATCCGAGTCCGCCCCAGACTCCCGGATTGGCCCATGTTCTTCCCCACTGTCCGATTCTGCTGCCAGCTCCGCAGGCTGCCTGTGGACCACAACAAAAGTAGAGCTTGCACAGTTTGTGAGCCATCAAGATGGGTGTCATGTTACAACAGCTACTGCACACAAGGGTCTCCATTTTAAACAGCCAGGTTTATTATTCCAGGTTATTTCATTTTACTTTTCGGCACCACTGTTTCTCACAGAGGGGTTCAGAACAGCACACCAGGAATCAACACAAACACAACCATCGGTAAAAATGACAAAGCGATCAGCCCTGAAACAAACTCTTTGAAGGCAATAACAAGCATCCATTCAACCAGAATGCGTTGGGGGCTGGTGGGGGAAAGGCAGTATCGTCTTGCAAATGCTTCTGTGCAAATATCTCATCTTGGGCTGCAACAATCGGGCGGTTTTGGTTGCTTTCCAGCTTTCCAGCATGCCTTGGGAATTCTGCGTCAGGATCCCTTCTTGAGTTAGCAACAAAAGCTATTCAGATCCTCCTCATGGCCTGGCTAATTAAGGATCTTTATTGTACACTACACCAAGCCACTTAAATTAATTGGTGGCTCCCTGCCAAAATGAGGATGCAAAACCTACTTACCTCCTCTGGAATGCAAGCCTGGGGCTGCTGTGAGCTACCCTTTCCACAGCTTTGCAGACCCCTTGCTTTGTATTTTTCTCATTTAGTTGGCCGTTTTATATTAATGTATTCCAAGGTTCTGGCCCTGAACCCGCCCCCCCGGCTTCCGATGGATCTCTTATAAACTGGAGGCCTCCTCGGTGATTGTGAAGTTGATAGAAGAGTTGGTTCCCAGACTGATAAAATTCTAAAGATTCTTACATAAACAGCCAGCTGCGAGCTTCATGAGAATCAGTTAGAAAAAACAACTCAGGGGGAAAAAAAAGCCTCTGCCCTCTTGTACCTTGGGGATATGTTGGTTGGAAATGGGAAAGGGTTCAGTTGCTGGAATTTTTATAACCTCTTCTTGAAAATTCTTTCTTCCAGAGACTCTGAGATCATTGTGCTTGGAAGAATCAGAGCCTGACATTATGAATAGAATAGAAATAGAAGTAGAATTGAATTCTTTATTGGCCAACTGTGATTGGACACACAAGGAATTTGTCTTGGTGCAAATGCTGTCAGGGTACATAAAAAGAGAAGATACATTCGTCAAGAATCATAAAGTACAACACTTAATGATAGTCATAGGGTACAATAAGCAATCAAATCATACTAGGAAACAGTCAATATAAAGCGACAAAGTTACAGTCATACAGTCACAAGTGGGAGAGGATGGGTGATAAGGAGCGATGAAAAGATTAACAATAATAGTAGTGCAGACTTTGCAAACAGTTGGACAGTGTTGACAGAATTATTTGTTTAACAGAGTGATGGCGTTCAGGGAAAAACTGTCCTTGTGTCTAGTTATTCTGATGTGCAGTGCTCTATAGCATTGTTTTGAGGGTAGGAGTTGAAACAGTTTATGTCCAGGATGTGAGAGGTCTGTAAATATTTTCACAGCTCTCTTTTTAGATTTAGATTTAGTTTAGATATGCACGCAGAGGGGAGCCATGTTAAGGATGTC